CCTTATGCAACGCGAGCCGGCTATGATATAATTGCGGAAGCACTCAGTGGTTTTATGCATGTTAATTCTTGTGCTAGTGGCAACCCGCATCAGGTAGCCGTCGCTCTGATCGATATGATTACAGGTAATAAACCATTGTGTTTCCTTTTAGATCTGTTTCAGCAGATATTTGAGGGAAAAACTGCTTCGGTGCCATAAGCCTACTAGTAAGAGTTGACACAAAAATGCACATTTTCATAAAAAATTTTTCAGGGTTATATGCGCATGGAGCAATTTTAACGGCTTTGTTGCAACGAAATCAAACGGGCAAAGGACAAAAAGTTGAATGTAATCTTCTTGCCACTCAGGTTCGCATATTTTCTACTTCCGCTTCAAAAACTGGCTCAGAATCCACATTTTCTTAATCATTTTAACAAATTCACTACCGTTTTGGGACGCTTGATGGTACTGCCATAAACAGACCTGAGCGTATCTAATTCAGAAACGCACCCAGGTTCTTCTGAAAGCTAATTTTTTTGTAAGGACATATCCAGTAATTAGCATTTTACGACAACGCGCTGATATTAAGATTGCCCAAACTGCCCGGGCAGTTGGTCTTCTGCATGTTCCTGCATATCTCTCGTGACATGCCAGGCACACTTTAATTTTATACAGTTTTTAGTTAGATTTAAGCATATCCAGCTTTGTTCTTATTGTTTTGCTCTATATGAAATCTGAATTTCTCTACTGCTGAAGTTTGTGCATTTTTGATCCAATTTATTGTTATTCCAAAAATATTTCTACAGTTTTAGAAATCTTTCCAGTCTGAGATTCCCGATACAACGATAATTTAGATGGCAGCACTGTTGAATGTGGCGAGCAATTATTTGAATGCTGGAGTGCTCGACTGCAGTGAGGCAGTGCAGCGAGAAAGCATACTGCCTTGCCAGGCTTTCAGAACCAAGGATCAGCGATATTTCGTCGTTGCTGTTGGCAGCGATAGCGGCTTCAAAAAAGTTCGAAATTAATGATATCGGCATATCTCTTTTTGAAACTGACTGGTTTTTGGCTGAGTCGGGAACATTTAACTAACAGCATGATTCTCCTAACTGCTGCATTTAACAAGATTTCCAACTGCTTTCGCCGAAGCTATACAGTTTGTCAGCCTGCTGGCGGCCCTAATGTCTGCTTCATCCTTAGAAAGGGTCACCAACATCTCAACGATTCTTTTGAGGAGCACTTGGCAATGTTTCGGCTGTTTCGAAATTTCAGTAGTACGTATTCAGCATACCATCTCGTTTCTAACATTACCATTTCAAAACCATGATAAGATCCTCTACTAGCTAGGATAGTGAAAGTCCTGAATGAAGCACTGGACACTCAAATTTTTTTAAAATTTAAGTTTCAAACACCTGCCAGCAAGTGTACTGATGAAAAGAAAAACAGCATTTCTGGCTGCTCCGAGAATGATAAAACCTCTAAGTAGTGAAGTGTTAAAAAGTGCTAGAAGATAGTTCAAACAAGGAAGAAGAAGAGCACAGCTGTGCTAATTATGCCGTGCGCTTTAACTTTACCGGAAGTCCAGAAGTCGATGATTTTGATATCAGCTCCGTATTTTTTATGTCTTTTAGAAATTCCCTTTTTATGCGTTTTTGCTGTGCAGCGCTATAGCAGCGCGCTATAGCAGCAAAAACGCATACTGTCGAGAGGCTGTCTGTGTGTGTTCGGAAAGCGAGTGCATTTTGTCACCCACTTTCAACTCGGCA